TGTGCAATACGAGTGATCTAGACTTGAGTTGATGAAATTGAAGAAAAAAATTGCCAGCAGGCAAAACAAGTTTTGCACACCAAAATTGTCGAAACTATAAATATTTCACTAACTATATCAAATATAAAAAAGAGAAATAAATCAAATTTAAAGAACCTGGCTGTTTGCATAAGAAAAAAATCTAATATTACTAGAATATAAACATGAAATAATATGGGAAATAATAATCAGGACATTTTTAGACAAAAAGAAAGCATATATGCTTTTGTTGAGTATCATATCTGATGCAACAGGTTTTTATGGCTGATATGATAATAGGAGAATATGGAGCTCATAATAAAGGAGGAAAAAAAACTCAAAGTGCCAAAATGAGCAAAAATATGCAATTTGGTGCAGTTGCTGATATTTATATGGCCAAAAAGTAAGATGAAAACTGTTAGCTTAAAATTTAAAACAATGAGATCTTTATAACTGTATACCAGACTACTTACATAAAATGCATATAAATATTAATTGTCAAGCTATATCTCTAAATAATATGTCTTAGTAAGATGATATTTAAATACTTCGTTTTATGATCATAGCTCTGTGGTTTTTATTGTGTTGGGGGGGTGGGGGTGCAAAACATACAATGCAATGCAATACAATACAATGATGATTGACAAATAAATGTTCCTCAAAAGCATGATTTTTCATTTTTGATCCTTAAATTTACATTTATCTAAAAAATTACATGGAAATGTATGGATAAACCTAAGTTACTTCAGTCTAGTAAGGGTTCATTTTGAAATGAACTCAACTGGATAAAATCATATCTGTCCAGTAGAAAGCAATGTGTTCGTGTTAATGATTCAAAGTCTCCATTCTGTGAATGTCCAGTAGGGGTCCCCCAAGGCTCCATACTTGGTCCAATCCTGTTTACATTGTATATAAATGATTTGCCAGAGGCATGTAAAAATGTTGATGTTCAGATGTATGCAGATGATGCTGTAATTTTTACATATGCTAAGAACTACCAAGAGATAGCATCCACACTTACATCTGCAATGGCTCACATTGATGACTGGCTTACTAAGTCATGTCTCTACCTAAACACCAAAAAAACAGTTTGTATGGCGTTTACCAAACAAAATATGAAGGTGTCACATTCTAATGTGTTCCTTAGAGGACAGGAGCTTGATATTGTTAATGATTTCAAGTATCTAGGAGTCACATATGACTCCACCTTAACATTTAAACGTCATGTAAAAAAGGTGGCAAATAAAGTTAAATTCAATTTGCAGAATTTTAAACAAGTTAGACCGTTTCTTGACACCAAAGCTGCCAAGTTGTTCCTATATACTATGATCTTTTCACATATTGAGTATTGTTTTACAAATTGGTCATTAACTAGCACAACTACTCTTAAAAGTATTGAATCTCTATTTAAGAAAGCCATAAAAACTTTTGATAAAAAGGCATTGTCATTCCACGATTGCGACATCTTAGAGAGACATACATTTTTAAGCTCTGACAATTTCAAACGTTTCAAGTATGCTTGTTTGGTATATAAAGTGTTACATAATCTTGCCCCCCCTCCGCTGCATGGCTTTTTCCAAAGACTTGAAAGCGGAGGTAGCACACGGGCCTCTGTAAATGGGGACTGTGTGATACCATTTAGGCGTACCACTTTTGGACAAAACGTACTGTCAATAATAGGCGGTAAACTCTGGAATAGTTTGCCCCTCCCAATAAGAGAGTGTCCTACATTCAACACCTTTAAAACTCACTTAAAACAGTGGCTTCTAGAAAACCAGAGATGTATTCATTTTTAATTGTCACACATTTATCACCCATACACTTTCACTGTTAAATTGAGTGTAGTATAGAGGTGGATGAACAATGTCTTCTCCATCATGTATTTCTGTTTTGTTTTGTTGTTTGTTGTTAATGTATATGTCACCATTATGTGTATCTTTTCATTTATAGTGAATGAATGTTGTATTATTGTTGGCTGTCCTTATGTTAGTTTTATGTTACCTGCCTAGGGACTGCAGATGAAAAGTAGTTATTGTTACTAATTCTGGCATATTTACATGGTGTATATTTATACAACAATGTTCATGAATATGCATGGTCCCTATTAAATAAACCAATAAATAAAAATAAAATAAATTTAAAAAATAACACCAATATAAATGTCTCGTTGCACACACACACGAGGGACGAGGAGACGCTGGAGAATAT